GGCCATCTCTAGTAGGTTGGCGGCCATTGCTTTTAGGTTGGAGGCTAGCGCTATTAGGTTGGAGGACATTGCTATTAGGTTGAAAGCCATTGCCATTAGGTTGATAATGAGGTTGGAGGCCATTGCTATTAGGTTCCTTTCACATGCAGTCAAAGGAAGCTTCTCGGTTGGATCAGTAGGATCGAAGCTTCAATAGGACACATGAAGTTCTTCTTCTTCCTCGACGCGGGGGGCGAAGCGGTGCGTGGGACCGAACCGATCATTAGCGCAATGGCGAAGCGCCCTGTGGTTACAGCAACCAACCAGCAGACCCCATTGTGGAGGGTTCTTGACGGCCCCGAGATACAAACAAAGGAAGAGCGCTTTCCACACACACAGTACTTTACTTGCAGGTTCTTCGTTAGCTTTTTTTTAAAAAGAAACATATTCTCGATCAAGCCACCCATGGGAGTCTTGGCCTTGCAGCAACGTCTTGGTCTGTTTCCTTTCTGTTGGAAGGACATGCACATCGCGATATAAATAGGTTCCACCACCATTGTTGGAGCTACGTCTACGTATTTTCCCTCACAGTTCAAGATGCTTTCGAACGATGTTCACCTTGCCGCTGACCCTCTTCGAAACTGTGACCCTACTCCGTGGAAGATGCACAAGCCGACTTGCCCATGCGCCACCGTCAAACCAAATTGATGCTGCATAGAGGGGCTTGCCAGTAATCTTCGCTTGAAAGTCCAGCACCTTTTGTTGGGCGTCTGGCCGTAGGCCGTGCTTGTTCCATTCAAATCACGTCTTTGCCGAATTGCCACGCTTCAAGGTGTCCGTCCACACTTGTACCAACGGTTTCTAATGGAATCAACGGATTCAGAGCATTGGCTCAGAGGGTGCTATGGATGTTTTGGCGGTTTTATCGGCGGTTTTACGGCGGTGCCAACGGGAGCGTCGACCGACCGGCGTGCCTTTTTGGCCGCTGGTTTCCTCGATGCCAAGCAGTCAGGGCGTGCGGACGATCTGCATGCGGACGAAGGTGAGGGACGCTCGAAAAGGGCTTGCTCGCTGGCTTTTTGGGCTTTTCGAGCTTGCGGGGTGACTGGAATCACCTACGACGATCGTGGAACTGCGTTGGCTCAATCTCTTAGAGAGACTCTCTCGATGAGCTATGGCTGCATGGAAGCTTGGTGCGAATCGCGTGCTCGTATTTTTTTTTTCCCAGGTCGCAAGCTCCAATATGTGCCGGTGCCGCTCCACCCGGGTGCCGCAAAACCCGCTCGTACAGTGGTTCCGGAACCCATCGGATGGGGCGAAGGCAGCGGGTTCGGTCCCAACACCGTCTCCTCACTCTGTGCGGTTGTGACTTCTGTTGCCCTCAGCGCGACTAACACGTCGCGTGGTCGCGTGGTCGCGTGGCGGGTGGAGACGCTGACTCCCACGCTGGACGAACACACATCACATGGAAGTGGCGCCGCACTGCTTGGCGCTTTGGAAGATGACTTTCCTTTCACAAACGAAGGATTCTCCACTTCCATGTCAGTCAGTTGGAACGCGTACCAAACGAACATCCCGTTCCCCCCCAAACGAATCGGTTGGTCGAAAGGCCATCGCTCCGTCGGAAGACTCGTGGTCCAGGGGCGAATGCATCGCGACTCGAGTCCGGGGCGACCCTGGCCGTAGGAACGGAGCAAGTAGCTACCTAGTAACAGCTAATGACCTCATAGGGATGTTTGGTTGCCTGAAGACTCCATCCTACCAGGTCTCACCATCGCACCCAAAAACCGCCTCCAACGGCTCCAGTCCAACTCGTTGGGCCCTGGAAGGGGGAGTCCAAACCCATCGAGGTATGGAAGTGCAAAGGAAGTGACCAGCTCGTCTGAAAAAGGCGCTTTCGCATCGGTCCGAAGTCGGTCCGAACGCCCGTTGGATGGTCCGGGCGAACTTCGGCCTTCGGAGGAACAGCTGTTTGGGTGGGTTTGGGGGGTGCCGGTCCGGGGGGTGGTTTTTCGGTCGAAAGCGGGTGGGTGCGAGGTGAAGCGAGAGGTTCGTGGAGTCGGACGGTACGTCCGAAATGAAGGGTTTGGGGGGAACGAACAGATCTGCGGCGCTCCCGCGCCATGCGTTCGGTTCTCGGTCGGTTGTTTGGGTGTGGAAACACAGCCTTCCTTCAACGGACTCTGAAAGGAGTTGAGTGCGAGTCTTTCGTGCGAGTTTTTTCAGACCAAGGAGGGGGAGCCTATAGACAAAAGAGGACGGAGATTTTATCGACGGGGTGAACTCCCTGATCTAACTGGAGGGTTTGAAAAGCATCTAGCTAGCTTGGGTTGATGATGTTGATGTCCACTTTTGGAACCCACAGAGGGTTGTTTGGTGGGACTTCCTCATTGGTCCATTGCCATGGGGTTGCATGCTCCGCTTTGATCCGCGTGTTAGGGGGTGTTGAAGGTCTTGCGCCAAACAAAGAGAAAGTTGAACATGTTGAAGACATATCCCGGTGTTGCCCAAATTGAACCGACATGTTCAACATTCTATTGGTGTTGCCCAAATTTCCTGGCTCTATTGGTGTTGCCCAACATTTGGACAGATTGAGCCACTCAATATTGTTGCTCTGATTTTCAAGGATTTCTCAACCAGTCACCAAGTGTCTTTCAGGGTTCTGCACATGATTCAACAACTACTACACCTTCCAAGAGAGAGCTACCAGCAGAATGCCTGTCGGCATCATGTTGGAAAATCTGGATTCGCAGGATGGCTGAAGGCCTTCGCAGTGGGATGCAGCAACTTCTCCATCCAGCACCTTGGTTTCTCAAAACCCATCGATTCGAGTATTGACGAGTCATGGCACCTGGGCATCCTGGTGAGTTCCGGGTCAAATGAACATGATTCCTGGATGTCAACCTCCCATTGCTTGGGGGGGTTTTCGGTGACGAAACCCGCCATGGCGGTGAAAAGATACTCACCCATGGCGCTCAGCGCCATGGCGCGCTCAGCCAGGATCAGCGCGGGCGGATCTCTTGAGATTTGGGGATGAGACAGCCCATGCTGGGACCATGCCTCAGTCGTCGGGTCGACTTGAGGCAGGACCCGGCTGTTTCGTGAGGCCGCGGTTCTCGGAACTGGCGGAGTCAACAACTGTAGGGAGTCAACAGCGTCGAGCCCAAAGGACCTTCGTTTGGGGAAGGTCCTGAAAAAGGATAACAAAAAAACCGCTCGTCCCGGTCCTCTTCGGTCCTCTTCCGTCTGCCTTTAGTTGGCCTTTCTTCCTGAAAATCGCTAGCGCGCTCTCTCTCTCTCTCTCATTTCGCACGAGAGCCTCTAGATGCCAGCCAGCTGAAGCCCTTTCGACCGCGGAGCGGGCCTTTCCGAAACGAGTCCGAAGAGTACGGCCGCTCACGCGGAGCTCTCACGAACATGCCATACCCACCGCAAGATCCGCCAGGTGTGTTTCCCTCTCTTCCTTCTCTTTCACCCCCCCCATCCCCAACACAAACACCTTCCGGAATCCGCTCCCTTTCCGTTGCTCAACCTTTGAGACCTTACAGAGACCAATCAATGAGACCTCCTCCGAGCAGAGTCCGGCTCCTCTCCGGCTCCCTCTGCTCCGGTCCCAGGTACAACTACCAGAGCTCGGAGTCTCAGGGCACCGGGCCTCACTCGATTGCCGGGGCGTGTGGTGCGGTCCCCTCGCGCGAGTGCACGGTCCCCGGGCGGCGCGCGTGCGGAGCTGGGGACCGAAAAGAAGCCTGGACAGGAAAAGACGCCTACTTGGACTGAGAGATGCACCCAGAGACTGGAAAACAGGACTTCGACCTTGGACTTGGAACATGGTTTGGAACAACTGAGAGATGCACCTTGTTTTCCTTGGTGCTTCTGTCACTGGTCTGTCCGACAGTGTCTTTGCACATAATAAAACCACCCAAACAGTTGTTCCACCAAGATTGCGGCGTGGAACCATCGTATTGTTGAGATCACGTAGAGGATTTGAGAAACCATTTGGGCATATAGGGTCATCTCCGACATTTGGTATATGCAGGACATTGTGGGACCATGTCCTTTTCTGAAAAGGAGCACTCGATGATGAGCTAGCTTCTTGAGTCCCCGACTTCATGTTGACTCGAATTTACGCAATCAAATGTTCCCAATGAACGATATTAAAGGATATTTAAGGTGTGTTCCCCTTTGTAAAGGAAAACCTCATCTTCCACTCAGGCATCCGGCTATCCATGGCCATCCACTTCCATCGTTTGAAGGCTTTGTGACCTCAAAATGATGCACGATGTCAGCTCGATGTCAGCCGGCGGCCAATGGTCAAGCATGACAGGTGGGCTGATTTTCACGCCAAATAGCAGGCCTCATCTCTTCGTGCTGATTTCGGTGCAAATTCCATGAGAGAGAACCCACTCTATGGAGCATTTGCTAAAAGGCCTGATGGATCTGGAGGTCAAGATTCTTTTTTTTTGCTGACTCATCGAACCAAAACCCCTGTCCTTCCGGGAAACCAGTTGGATGATCCCCTGTCCTTAAAAAATGCTTGCCCAGGTGCCAGCATTGCCTTGGCGGTGATGGCGACCCAAGCAGATCGCTATGTGAGTGATCCCAAGAAGGCCAACGCGAAGCGGATGGAAGCGGTGTAAATTTGGACGCGATCAGATGAATTTTGTGAGAAGATGAGGGTGTTTGGTGAGGGAATTTTGCGAGTGAAGCCTCGATCTTTCACTTGAAACTACAGCTGCAGACAAGCAGACAAGCAGCAAGATGGGCTCGTGGCGTGGCCCAGGCTGAAAAGCTCTTTTTTCAAAGAGTAGATGAGTAGATCATGCATTTCCAATACGATCCTGCCTTGTCTATTGACTGTTCCGCCATCAAAGGACTAGCAGGTTCCCTCACCATCCCGAGTCGATGCACCTTTTACATTGAAACAAAGGCAGCGTCAGTGCTCGTGATCGAAGAGCTCATGCCCCTCCATGTTTTGGACATCCCCTGGCCCCCAAGCCCATCTGTTTTTGTTGAATGCAAAACCTCTCTTCTGGAAGCTGCCAAGCTACCACAAACCACCCCAGTAAGTGAAACCGATGGTGGATTGGTGTTGAGGGTTGTAGAGAAAAACAGTCCTCCACCATGTTCCAATTTTCGGTGTGCAACCTCTGCCCAAAAGCCTGTTGGTCAACTTCACAGATGCCAGTCCTCGCCCATGGGCTGGACACTTGACGCCTTGGTAGTTCTAGGTTGTATCGGACCTCAACAGGCACTACCGGACCTCAACAGCAAGCGCCAGATTCCAGTGGGCACTACCGGACCTACTTTTGAGGCCTTGAAAGGCACTCCTCTGAATCTACAGCCTGGATGCTGTTCGCACACATCCGTGGCGGCTGCTCAAGAGCTGGGCCCCATGGTGTATCTCCACCCTTGGTGTCGGTCGGAAAACACTTCAAGACTTCTTCCCCCTGGTGTCGCTCAAAGCCCACCTGTCGTCGACACAACCTACAGCTAGACGACCATCTCGATGGGCGGAACGGCCTTCCTCAACTCTTCCCACGAAAGCCACTCTTCGTGGTGCTCTGTTCATGTTGAAGAATCACTCAAAAGGGAAAGCTTGACCGGCGAGCAACCAAGCCATCGCCGGTCAGATCTCACTCGTAGGCTGCAAAGTCGGACAAACATCACTCATGGATTTCCGCCAAAGCATCTGAACACATGGTTTTTCCCGCCAAAACCTTTAGCTCACGCCCACCGGCTTCATCCTTGATGGGGCGCTCCCCGCTCCGCTTTCGCAGCCTGTTCGGCGCTTCGCAGCACGGCCGGGGTCAGGCGGATTTCGGAGCAGCTGCTTGGATTCTGCACTGGCTTTTGGCCGTGGTCTTTGCGGGCTCAGTGGCAGGCACCGGGCGCTGGTTTTGGTGGTGCTTCTGGTGGTTTATCTACGGTTTTCCAAGACACTTTGGATGTGGGGACTGAACACTTCTTAAGGCTTTTCCATCGGTGCGATCCCTGGCTTTTGTGGGATCATAAGAACTTCAGTTATCTTCAGTTGGTGAACAGGTGCCCCCAACACCAACCTGGACTTCCCGACCTCAACCAGTTTGATCGGTTTGACCCAGTTTCACGTCCTTTTCCAAAGGAGTTCATCTGTTTTACCTTCAGTTTCTTAAGGTGCTTCCTCCCCTCCAAGACTCATGTCCAGATGGGTGCACCGGAGATGCGCGCCCCTGCACGGAGGTATGCTGTCGATGGGGTGCCTGGGCGACCTCATTGGACATGGGAGAGCCTTGCTGGTGACCAAAGGCTTAGTGGTACTGGGATGCTTCATGTCGGGGAGCCCAGGATAGCTCAGGCGGCGGTGTGCCCAGATGTCTTGTTGGCTTTCCTCTTGGCCGTTGGCGGCCGTTGGCGGCCGTTGGCCGTCGAGCTGTTGAGATTGGAGATTGGAGTGGTGTTTTTGGGGTGGGGCAGCTTCGGGTTTGAGCGGGCGCAAGCCGCAAGCATGCTGGGTGATTGCTTTGAGTGGAAGAGCTGAGGGGTGTTCCTTGACTGTGGATCAAGTCACCAATGACCCACTATTTATATGACATATTTACACTGTTTGCTTTGACTTTGAGGCAGTGAAACATAATTAAGCCTGGTTTTGTTGATATATGTTTGATTTTCCGAACATCTTCGTGAATCCCCATGCCAGCCTGGGGAACATGCCTTTTCTATCTTTTCATTATCCCATTTCCTGGCAGCTCCTGGACTGCAAGTCCAAGTAAGGGAATTTTCACTCTGGAAATCTCTGTCTTTGGGTCGACGTTGGACTTTGGGTCCCTACATATGCGTGCATGTCCCATACGGGACAGGATTTTCTTCCCGACGGACTACATGGTGGCAACAAAAACGAATTCTAGGGCCCCCCCCCCAGAGATGCAGCAACTATGAAACGAAGCTGGTGGTTCGAGCAGAAGTCTTTGGAAAGAAGACACACCTGTTCAAGCCGCAGCTGCAGTACAACCCAGAGAACCTGGGCAGTTTGGCCAGAAAAAGATGGGACCTTTTTGGAGTCATCAGACATTCTTCAGGCCCGACTCTAGGGCGATCGCTCCAGCGCCGAGGTGCACCTTGCTTCCAGAGCAGCCGGACGAGTCCGGCTTCTGGGGTCAATTGATCCTCTGGCGCTTCATCATCGGCGTAGGCGGGTCACGACGGGTCACGACGGGGCACGACGGGTCGAAGTTATCATATGTGATCAAGTGGTTTGATCTGTAGCTAAACACGGTTGTTTCAACTACGCTAAAGATGTTGTCCCGTGGCCGTTTGGATGTTATATGTTTGCACCTTTCACAGGAGATCACACAAACGGTGCTTTGTGATCTCACGTTGGACTATTTCTGATTCACTAGATGAACCGCTTTGTGATCACCAAAACACCTGCTGAGTGACCTGCTTCTATCTGCTTCTGATTTGCACATCATCTCACAAGTTAAAGCTGCTTTGGAAGGGTCACGCAGTGTCTCAACATGTCTCAACGAAAAAACGAGAGCGCCTCTTCCTCCCGAAAAGCTTCACACCTCAACAAAAACAGAACTTCCCACAGCAGCGGAGTGGAGTTGCTTGACTCACTTCCTCACGCGGAACGGAGGCCCTGAGGTTTCTTTGACCCTGCGGATCCACAGATCTACCGGTACCTCAGAAGACCTCCTTGCACCCGACCCTGGCGACCGACCGACGGACCCACCTCTGCGTCCGTACCGCCCGTACCGAGCTGGTGTGGGTTCGAGCCGGGCACCGGTCCGGTGGCACACAGGCTTGGGTGGCGCCTATCCGCTGACGGCCGCAGTGGCCGGGAAGGCCAACGACGTGGGGAAGGCCTTGGGGTGCAGCAGATAGATCCAGATCGAAGACGGAAGACAGCGGGGAAGAGCTGTGGAAGAGGTGGTTGAAGCAATTGGATAGGTCACAAGTATATGGACACGACATGATGACACATGTCTTGACACATGTCTTTCTTAGAGGCTCGAGTCGACCGAGCCTTTCTCGAGAATTTTCGCATGGTTTGGAGGGCTTGAATGCATCGGGGTGGAAGTGACCCGGTGACACGACCAGTGGACCAGATGATGGACTTGCGTTTGGGGATTCTCCGGAAGACCAGTTTGACAGCTATACCCATATCTACACGTAGGTGCGCACGTGCAGCGTCCCGGTGCTGCAGTGCTTGAGTTGCATGCCTTCTCTCTGTGGAGCTGCAGGCCTTCTTCTGGCAAACACCCGGCAGTGTGGCTCCCTACCTGGTAGCCTTGCTCGTGTTGAAGCTTCTGCCGGGTCAGACTAGCCCTCAGCTCCTTGGAGAAGTGGCACACCCGTGGTGACACACCCGAACCGCGCGTGCCCATGCCATTGGGGGAAGACCACGGTCCAGCTAGCCACGGATCCAGAGGAGGGTGATTTTTTTGCCAGCTTACGATGCTTTCGAATGTTTTGTGCACTGCTGTTTCCAGCAGAAATGAGCTCATCTTCCAAGTCAAAAGGAGACAAGGTCATGGTCTCCAAGCTCATATTTATTCTTTTTCTTTGCGGTTTTTGGTTGATTTGTGGCCACCTGGAACCCGGTTCCTGGGTGACGTCACCCCTTAAACCTGGGTCACTTGCTCATTGGTCCGACCGTCCAAGTCGAGCGCCTCGAGCGCCGAGCCGGACGCCCAATCCGCCGATGTCAGGATGGATCGTTCGGGAAGCGGTTCAGAACTAGCCAACAGCGAGGTGAAAAGGTCCATGGTGACCTCTGATTGGATCTTATCGGGGCTTATTGGATGCCTAACTGAGACGAAAGAGTGAGACTAATACCTATACCGATACCCGTGCCCATCCTTTGGCTGAAGACATCGCTGCAGGTTCCGCTGGATCTTGGGCTTGGGAGCTGTGCCATCCTTCTTAGCGCTCGGGACCTCCATCTCCGACCCAGTGGCACAGCCTGTGCGGCCAGCATCCCAACTGGGCCTTTGGGAAGGTTTGCCACAAGCACTCAGCTGTCCTCGGCGGCTCGGTGCACAACCGGTGGGGCGCACGTTGATTCGTCCACGGACGTGAAAACGGCATGGACGAGCGCGAGCTGCGTTCCTGTGCTGCTGGCTTCTTCGATCTTCTTCGTTTCTTTCCGAGTCGGATTCTGTTCGAAAGACCGACCCGACCTGGCTGTTCAGCCGAGTCTGTTCAAGCAACAACACACCATCGGTCTACCCGTGACCGGTACCGTTTCGGGGCGGCACGTCCCCCGGGCCCGACCAGTGGCTGCCGTTGGGCTGTGTGGGTCCGCGGACCGGTGGACCGGTTCCAGAAAGGACCGGTGACTCCTGTTTTTACGTGGACCGTACTCAGGTGCAGAACTGGTCGTTTTTTGTTTTTTTTGTCTTTTTTGTCCTTGTTCATGTAGACTCTGGATTTTTTGGTACCTCCCCATACGAAGATGATTTCCAATTCAAATGGGGGAGTTGATTCATCAACACAAAAAACCTGGCACCACTTTGTCGAACTCCTCTGACGTCGCCACAGTCGCCACCCCCACCGATGCTGCGGACCCAGGCTTCAGAGGCGCTTGCTGGGCACTGCTGGAAGCTGGTTCCTGTTTGACGTGGCTGCTTATGGCAGCTTGGTGAAGGGGCCCCACCACCGGAGCTTCTTAGAAGCGAACGCCGCTTGAGCGGTCGAAGTGTTTTTTTATCTTTTGGTCCTCAGGTGACTCCAGTGACGGAGGTTTCTTCTAGACTTTCAGGTTCCAACCAAAGAAATCCAACAGTCCAACAGTTGCGAACGCTTCGGGCGTCTTTCAGGTGACCAGAACGGCCAAAAAAACGTCTCCTCTCTCAGCTTGGACCTGGCCCTGGGCCGACGTTGCACAGCCCTGGACCGTCGCCCCCATCGTTGAAACGTTTCCCATGGAGGCAAGGTGTAAGAACGACGGTGGACGTGCCGGGTGTACAAAAACTCCAGTCATAACGGGAATTTCATTGAATCATCATTGATTTATAGTTTCATTAAGGACAATAACGTTTGGTCAGGTCCCGTTTTGTACCACTTTTGATGTAGGTAGTCATTTAGAGAAGCACTTCGTCAGTTTGAGAGAGCCAATGAAGTTTTCTGGCTCGGGCGGCCCCAAACGGTCCAGCTAGCCAGCTCGTTTCTTCACTGTTCTGGCCGCCCAATGATTTTGTTTTGGTTTTGTCCTTCACCGAGCGTGCCAATGGCCAATGGTTTTGTTGGGTGCCTTTCTCGACGAAGTGCTCCTTCTTCAGACATGGAGTTCATTGAGTATTTGATGAGAAGGACCATATGCAGCAGACACGACCTGTCTGGGACTGCCAGGACGGACTGCCGCCCCAGACAGACCCTCCTTTCAACCACCCCTGGCCGTTTCTCGGCAGTCCTGGCAGGCAGTCCCAGGTAGGTCGTGTTTGGGTCTAGAGCTGTCCGTAGCTCATGGCTCTTCAGGAACTGCGTTCCCCCCGGTCTCCTGGCCTTAGATCACGAGTCCGGAGCGTTCGGACGCGACGCTACGCACGGGGCTTCCTTTTTCCCAGGGACCACCATCTTCACCCCGCAGATTCTGAGCTATGTCTTCGGCAAGGACCATTCTTTGGTCCATTTGGCTTGGCATTCCATCCTCCTGTGCCTTGACCAAGGTCGAGTCTAGAGGCTTTTTCTTCCAATCTTTTCTTTGGACCGAGACAGAAGACAGGACACCCCTGCACGAGGGGCCCGAGGTATTCCGCCGTGGTGTCGGCCCTGAACCACGCGAGCGGGCGGTGTGTTCTTCAGGTCAAGCTACAGACGAATCGCCGCCTTCTTTTTTCTCCCAATTCTCCTGTTGAGGGTCGAAAAGCCATATCCTTTTTCCTTTTGACCTCTTTCATGTATCTCAACAATGTTGACCAGACAGACATGGATTGGAAAACCACTTCTTCATATGTGTTATTTTCATTCATCAACCAGTCTACATTACAATGGCTGGCCGAACAACGAACAACGCTCCGCGACCGCCGACCCTCACGTCGATCTTCCGTTCTCGGCCGGGTGTCGCCGGCGTTCGCTTCGAGGTCCGAGCAGAGGTGCTGTCCGAATAATGACCCCGGGACGGTGCTTATATATATATATATATATAAAAGCACCACCAACCACCTCCGTTTCGAAGGTGGGACAGGGGTGGGTGCCAGGGGGTCTCACCGAACCTGAGGATATGGGACAGGAGCCCCAAAAAGGGTCAAAAATACACCACCAAAACACCCACCTGACTCGAGGCTTTCATGGTCGATCCCCGCCACGTGGCTCTCGGTGCTGGCGCTGTCTCGGTGGCGAGCACGCCGGCTGAACCTGCTGGGCTTTGTGCCCCGGTCGCAGTGCCGATGGACGGATGGAAGAGAGGGGACAGGGCCATGGTTGACAGATTTCGGGTGTTTTGAAGCATATGGGATGGTTGATTCCTTAGAAAAAAGAGCCACCCAAACTAAGCAAGTGTCAGTTCCAAATGGTTCAAGTTGTCAGTTAGCATGACTCTCTCTTAGAAAAAACACACATCGATTTGTTGATCCTTGGAACAGTTCCGGACCTTTCTTCTTCTGGAACAAAACATCAACTTCTGGCTTTCGACGTGCAAAGACTAGGTTCATATCCATGGGGTGGTTTTGGTACCAGGGTTTGCACTGCAGGTGCACGCCATTCCCAGTGAGACTTCCACCGGTGTCGCGGAAGTTTCACCGGTGTCGACAGTTGGGGATGACAATTTGTTCTCCAAAGAAGCATAACTTTTTGGAGCCAAGGCAGCCTCTAATAGTGTTCTGTTCTTGAGGGATTCATCTGTCTGTGAAATCATGGCGCTTCCAGCCGGGTTTTTCCTTCCCACGGAACATGAAGAGAAAGGACGTCGACCTAAAGAAGGAGAGTCGACCTGCCAGGATCGCTGTGGTAAGTGGAGGCATCTCTGGACGCATCTCGTGCTTGCTGAGATACACTTGCCCCAACAAAACGCGTTGAGAAATTTGAGAAGAAGCAGCATCATTGGCAGTTCTGGGGAAACTTTTTTTGCAGGGCACCCTTTTGAGGGTCAGGTTACGTGGACATCCTGGCTTGCCTACCTTCTTTTTTGGGCCAAGCTGTGGCTTCTTAGAAGTCGGGTCTGCTTCGGTCGGGTCAACGTGCTTACTCCACTCCAGGTCTTGCAAGCGGTGCTCTTTGCCACATTTGCCAGCGCCTATGGCTTCTTCTACGACATGCACAAGGCGGCTTTCTTTCTGTCCCAAAAACATCCAACCACGAGGGACGGGCCGGTGTATTGTTCCGCTTTTCTTTCGTTTCGTGGAAAGAAGCCCGCCGTTGGCCCGGCGGAGAGGTACACAGCGATGCCTTTAGCGATTCCCATCCCTTCACGTCCCCAGTTCTTGCCATCTAGCCCATCCAGATGTTCCGCGGAACACGCGTCAGGGAGTCCGTCAGTCTCCGGACCTCCTCACCGTCAGACTCGTTTTGGCGGGGCCAGGTGCTGCTCGCTCTTCTTTGCGCCATCTACTTTGGCCAGGGGCCCCAGAGGCAGAGAAGTCTTGAGATGCTGTCCGGAGGACATGTCCTCTATGAAATGGGTGGCCTTGAGGCCTATTTTGTATACACACATACTGACTAATATATATATATATATTTACACATAAACTATACATATTTTGTGACAGAGAGGTATTTTTTTGGGAACAAGATGAAGACCTGCAATTTATAGGACATCAAGGGTTTTCTACTCACCAATAACAAATATGTGTCAGGTACCCTTCCTTTTTATAGGGCGCACATATGTGTGGCATTTCGATTCATTATGGCAGTCAGAGGTGAGAAAACATAGAGAGAATTGGTGAGAATAAACAATGAAATCATTTTATAGAGATAAGTTCTGCACATGACGACAGAGTCATCAGCAAGACAACAAACATTTTATAGAGAAAGAATCGGAAAGAGTAGTGAATGAAAAAAACCGTACAACAGCATTTTACACAGAGAGAGAGAGAGGAGTGAAAACCTCAAACATTAAAAGATATTAAACAAAGCAAAGCAAGACTAAACACAAGCATTAACACATCTTGACACCAGACGAAACTAGCTTTGCAGGAACCTTCCGATTTCCCGAAACGGATTTCATCAGACTCTTCAGATGCGAATGTTGACCCAATGAAAACACTTTATTAAACTCTAAAAGGAAAAGAAGCTCTTCTGTTAACATGTTTGTCCAAATCCTGATTCTGTCTGATTCGCATTTGCACAACCGCACAACCTGATTCTGTCTGATTCTGTCCTTTCTGGTCTCTCTTACAAACAAAGACGCGCAGTCTCCACCTCCCAAAGACGGCAGCCATGTTCTGACCAAGTGCTCCGGCCTCCTTCCAGTTTGACGTTGTGTCGCAGAGGCAGTCTCCACCATCCAAAAGAAACATCCCAAGGTCTAGTAGGTCTGCATGTGTATGTGAAGCTGCCCAAATCGATCGAAATCACTCCAAATTCGACTTCCTTCGAAATCCAACCATTTTCGAGAGAATCAGTAGCTCAATCTGCTTTCTCCTAGCGCTTCCCGGCTCGGCGCCGCCGGGGTCGGTACTTCCCAAGCTTTGGGCGCTGATGAAGCGCGGCGAGTTTCGAAACCAACCGAATTCGCTTTTCGCATAAGCGAAACCGTTGGACCAGGGGCGTTTGGACCAGGATCGCACACGAAAGTAAGATGAACGAGGGCACAGTCAACACAGCAGGACGGGGGGGGAGGGGCAGACAACAGATTGAGAAAGGACATGGAACATTCGCGCATGCTGTTCATGCATGAACAAAAGGACGACAGTCAGGGCTGAGCCTTGGGTCTGTCATTGTGTGTTCTTTCTCTTGTCCCCGTAGTTGGCGGATTTTTGGGCCGTTTCAAAAGTCGTCCAAAACCTCTAAGGAACCAGAAGAATCGTCCATGGCTCCCATCTAGGGCCGATCCCAGAAGCTCAGCGCGACGGAGTCGATCGTGTTTTTTACATGTTGTGCTTTTTCCATCACCAAGACCTTTGGGGGAAAACCACCAAACATCGAGCAGACGAGCAGACGTTCGACCTGTTTCAGATCGGCTCCGCTTTCGGCGCAACGACCCCTTCCCCCACGTGGAACTCGGCGAAACCGCCGCCGTTCCGGTCGCCGTTCCGCGGAACGGCGCCGTTCCGGTGCGGAACTGGGTCGGAGCGAGGTCTCAATTGGGGCGTTTGCGTGTCCACCTACGTGCTGCCCATCGAGGTCTTTCCAGAGGAGCCACTCGGTTGGAGCGAGCTGCTAGCGTGGTGTTGGAGCGGAGCTCGGGGCGGCAGGGACTTGACCTGGCGCAGGGAACTGAGCTGCATGAGTTTGTAGATTCAGGATGATGGTATCCTTAGGCCTGGGGAGTAAGTTCACATTCACCATCTCCCCAGCGCAACTTGTGGACGAGTTTGTGCCATCCACTCAGGTTGCACCGCTGTAAAGAAAGTAATAGCTTCGTGATTGAAGTTGAAGACGAGTTGCATCGTGGGGGATCTTGTTTCGGCGTTCTTGATGTTCGGCATTATCGAAGAGCTTGCACACCAAACGCATTCGTCAGAATTGGAACACGGTCCCACGCTTTAGTTCTATATTATTTGTTCTCTCCACCTGTCCCACAAAGCTTACCTCCCAAATGTTCACAGATATCATTTGTGTGGATATTTTCACAGATCGACCCCCAACTTTGCGATGGTACACTGGAACATTTTCAGACTGGAAGTTACCTTCACATATTGTGTCTCAATTGTTAACTATTATTCTATTCTATTCTTGCTACAGAATTCCACCTGCCACCACATGAGGTTTGAAGCACATCACCAAAATGTCTTAATTCCGAGACGCTTTGGGCTTCCTCAGAAACGTTTTCCAGTGTGACAGGAATGCCTCATCCATCATGTGAGCAGTGAGTATGTTTCTTCCATCTTCCAAGCAGCCTGCTCCAAGGCAGTTGGCTTTTGCTGCTGGGTTGGGTGTAGGTCCAGACTACAAGCTGCCCTAGATCTATCCCTTGAACGCTAGAGTTAGAGGCTCTACACATACGATGTTTTAACCCAAATCATCTTGTTTTCGAAGCACAACAGCCAGCAACCCCCTGGATTAGTTCTTGTGCTTCACGCCCCCAGAACTGGTTTGAGGCATGTTCTTCACCAGATTCACATCAACCTCCAAAATCACCGGGCGCCCCTGTGTCGGACAGAAAAAGCCGCCGGTGTCGGCCCATGTCCCGCGGGTCTCGGCCGGCGCACTCAGATTCCGCGGCACCTTGCACGGCGTCAGCGCCGCAGCGGGCAAGCTCGGTGCACTGGCCTCCTGGTGTGAAAATGCGAGGGAGTAGCACTCCCAGAGAAGGCAAGCATGGCCACTCCCAGACAAGGCCGTAGGAGCTATAGAGCAGCAGTCACAAGAGGTGACGGGGTGCTATCCATGGAGGTGAGGGGTGTTCGGGACATCCACTCACGTAAGGGGACGAGCCACACCACCCCCGACATGTGTATGAGATAGCCATGTCCTCCACCTAATTAGTAGCTTCTTGCTACGTTCAGTGAGAATGAGAGGGTTTTTCGTTCCAGGAGTGGCAGGAACTGACATTTTTGGGCGGGCACGACCTGGGTTGTTCGAGAGGAGCCAGCGGTGGAGCCTCTGAGCTGACTTCTTTAAACAACGCCTTTCGCCAGCTGAGCTCTTAGTCAAAAGCAAAGATGGAACCAGGGGTTTAGACGTTTTTGATTTTCTAGGAACGGTAGGAGTGAATTTCCTACAGTTTCCAGGTGGGTTGGTTAGGAGGTTCAAAGTCTGGCTGCGGGGGCACCTGGGTCGCACCAGACGTTGCTCTCCCACCGTCCAACGAGGTGGGCGCGTGCCTCTTCCCGCTCCTCAACACCATCGGTGGGGCCTGGGGTACCCAGCTATTGGAGCGACCAGAAGAGGACCAGAATGCGACCTGATCGGTACTACTAGTAACAAGTGCATCGCTACTAGTAGCAAATTTGGTAGTAACACACTACTAGTAGCGATGCACTTGTTACTAGTAGCATGAAGCCACCAGTTTTGCGTGGCAATCGGCTGGGATGAAGTGATGAATCCTGTCGCAACGACGCCCCGATTTTGCGACCAGCGCTCCGATTTAGCTTGGGTTTCCTATCCAAGTCCTGTAGGACCAAGCTGGTATCAACCAACCAGGCGAAGGGATTTGACACGAGGCTTTGATCATGGCCCAGGTCGATGACTGATTGTCCCTTTCATGGAGAACTATGAACATTTGGTGGACGTTCTGCTCTGGTCAATTTGAGGAGAGTCGATTCCAAGAGCTAGGGGCATTTGAGGAAGGTGAGGAATTGCTGCGATGCGAGACATTGATCCTGTAGACTGTAGATGGATGTAGATGGTTTATGTGATCTTTGCACGGTGATTGCAAAGAGGGAGGGCTTTGACCTTTGATCCTATATTATACCAGGTTGTTGGGGTCCTGGTGATTGTCGCACATGTTGCAGAATGTTGCATAGGCATCGTTTGGAACTTTGGTCGATATTCGTTTGTTATGCACTGAGCCGCTTCCTCACTGAAGCTAGAACATAGAAAATGAATGAACGTCACATACCTGTGCATCAAGATAGAATCACACAATGCACACTTGATGCACACTTTGCCCCCTACACATTGCAAATACCGAGAGATGTGGGGATTCATGCGGGATTCCGATTCATTTTTTTCACAACACGATTCCTACCATCCATCGCTATGGGATTGTGTGGCGCATGACCCATCCCTATACCTGTTCCTTTTAAGAGCTCACCTCAATCGCTACGATGTTTCCAAGCAAAGCAAAGCAAGTCCAGGGCGCTTTTTCATTGTTTTCAGGTCCAGACTGACAGACTGACGGTCTATCGACTTGTAGTCATAGTAGTACACTCCCGAGTCAACTCACATAGACCCTGACGTCCGTCCTGGTCCGGTTTCGACGATTTGTCCTCCTCGTCCTGGTCCTAGGCGTTTTCAGATTCCATGGGATCGTATTACACCAGGGTGTAATGCACCGTCGTTACGATTTGCCAAGCTTCGGCCTGGCGCGGCGAGGTACCCGCTGTCATGGGCCTGCAGGCGACGTGTTCCGTGTTCGCGTCGCAGCCGCTGCGAAGGTTTCACCGGGACCTGACGAAAAGGGGCGGGCGCCAGGGTCAAAGCCTGGAGCCCGGTGCCCCGGTTTTCTCCCCCAGCTAGGTTTGCCGACGGAGAGATGGGCCTTTACCAGGGAATGAGAGCATGATCTCAGTCCGGTTGTCTTGTTGAGGTCCGGAAAAAATAGAATCGTGGTTTCTGGGCAGTCTTCTAATTTGATGGCACATCCATACAAAGACTCATTCATTTTTCGAATCAGATCTCCTTCAGTTGCATTCCAAACAGGGGTCCTTTAGCGTCTTTTTCTGTCACTGGTGAAGCTGTGATTCTATCGGGAACAGCGCACAGCGCAGGCGGTGGTGTGTGGTATGGGCGCCTGGCTAAGCTTAACTTGCTTGCCTCCAGATGACTGACGATGACTGACGTGCTTAGAGCTGGCCACCACCACGCGAAACGCACGCAGAATGTGGCGCGTTTGCGTCAGATCTTAGACTCTACGTTCGTGCGCGGGCAGAAGATGTTCAACGATCTATTTCTTTTCTTGATGTGAAGGTCCATTACATGATCGAATAGTTTCCGAGTTGCTCTACTGTGGAGTTGGTACGGTATTATCAAACGAGTTCTGCGCCATCAAGCACCCACGAAACTCTTCGAACATTGTCTCTTGTTAAGCTAAACCGGAGGTTTGATTTGTTCCTGTTTACACAGGTTGTGCACTCCTCCAAAAGGTCTCAGGGAAGAACGCATTCCATAGATTTTCCTTTTTTTGCAAGGCAAGATGAGTTAGCTTCAGCTTGCCTCAAGCATGGGTTCATGCTTTTAGCACTATATTTTTAACACTACTGTATATTCAGGCCTGAATCCATTGATATATTTTTAACCCACATATTCAGGCCCAGGCTTTTAACACATCTTTTTTAACTATTGGTTGGTTGATGAACAACCCAGTCCGGTTGGACTATGTGAGTACCTGGCATCGAAAGCTCTCTCTCTGTCTCTCAGAGAAGTGTCGGTCTGACATAGAAACCATAGACACCTGCAGTAAGAGCAGTCCGTAAACAAGAACATCGCTATTTTAGATAAAGGCCTGCAAGCTAACCAAAGCGGAATAAATCCACTGTTATCCCTGGTCATGGGATAGACCCAAGATGTGTATTTTTTCCCACACTCTTTTTTGGCATGGCTACAGTCCGCCAGGGCGGCGGGAAGAGAAGGGCCAGTTGTAGATGCTGTTGGGGAGTTGGCTCATTTGCATGCACTATAGACCCTCCCTCTAACCATCCCCCAAATAGATAGACGTTCATAGATCCCCACCAAGAATGTGGGGGTGAAGCACCGTGCCACTATCTATTCTCTTTGGGGACCACGAAAAAAGGAGAACGTCCGACGTCGGGTGGTGAACGTCACACGGCGAGTCCACAAGTGATTGGAACATCTGGAACTCTGGGGGGTCAAAGCGTTCTCGAACGGTCTGACCTTTGTGACATGAATCTGGGTGATGCTGTGATGAGGATGCCCTCGCGACATGAGTGAAAGAAGGAGGCAGCGTATTGAATCAGAGTTATCCAGCATTTCTTTCTGGTTGGACTTTGGAAAACTCCTTTTTTTTGTCATCGGACAACATCTTGATCGTGCTAAGAAGAAGACATCACATAGCTCCGCACCGCTTCAGCGAGTGCATCCGGGACTTTGTCCAAGTGTCTTTCTGCTCGTTCTCGCTCCGATCTCGCTGTCCCTCAACACGAGGAAGAGCGTCCATTCGTTTCGTGGGAAGCCAGTCCACGTGGTTCCCCGGAAGACTGCCAAAGAAGGATGAAACATGGCGTTTGGTGGGTCGTGGATGGTAGTGGAACGTGATAGGCAGTGATAGGCAGGAGAAAGGTCTCACGGGCTGGTGTTTGATACGAGACGGTCAGAATCTCTGATGTATTGGGTGAAAGAAGAGGATATGGAGACAAAAGGCTTATGTCCTTGGGGAAGTACAGTGACCTTTGAGAATCCTTTCGCAGATCTTCACAATGGTTTGGCGCATGGAATCCGGGATTTCTGCGGCATTTGATGGACCAATTCATCATTTTGATCGAAACTTTGGACACACTTGGTCCCTTGGTGTCGATGGATCCATTCAAGACATACATGTATTTTCTGCTGATGCACTCTTTACACACAGCAGTAATTAGCTTGGTCTGAACATTGAACCCCCAGTTGCAAGCGACCTCGCAGAGGGAGAGAGAGAGAGAGAGAGAGGGTATTTGTTCCAGATATCAAATTCGGGATCGGTGTCAGGAACTTTCTTGATCCTATAGCCTATAGACATTTCCCCAACAAGAACGCCGGGCTGTTCAGTCTGATCTGGAACATCACGAGACCGCTATCATCCGCTATCATCCGCTATCACCTTTTTTTGCCGATTTCGGGTCTCATTTAGGACGTCTTTCAGATGGGTGGGCAGAGGGGTATGGATGAAACCTGGGGACCCACGGTTCGAACCGTGTTCCGCGTCCCGGGAAAGAACACCGAGAGACACGCGCCCAAGCAATTGGTAAAGAGAAAGAAGAAAGAAGAGAGTTTTGCGTATAGAGGAAGAAGAGAGGTTGACAATAGAAGAAGAGAGTGTGTGTGTCGTCTCTTCTTCTATTGTGTCTTGTATTGATTCTCCTGCCGGTGTCACACCGGCTGCACCGGCTGCTTCTGGCTGCTTGGCCTTGGCTCAGACATGCCGTGTCAATTCACACGACTGTGGCGTGGAGGCCCAACTGGTCCGGGTGGCGACGGTGGTCCTGGTCGGCCGGTGAAGACGGTGCCGCCGCACCGTCTGGACGGAGGTCCTGGTCGGCCTCGAGGCGATGGAAGAGGTCCATGTGACCAAGTCAGTTGATCAAGAGGTCCATGTTGTCATTTCAGCATTGTCATCGAGAGAAGGATTGAACGGTTGACTGGTTGATCCTTCTTTTTGGGAGTCGGCGAGTGGTGTTGATAGCCTGATGTTGGAGCTCTGTGACATGTTGCAACATAACCCTGAAAGGAGTGTCATATTTCGTTGGAACACAAACCTGAAAGTGTCAGCTGTATATTATATACAATATATATATATGTATCAAGGGGACCCATGGTATACCAGGGAGGTTAAAGAACATGGGGATCATTCCCTTTTGACCCACACCTTGCACTCTGTCCAAAAGAAAGACCAACTACCGGAGCGCCCCAACTACTAGCGCGCCATCAATTCTTGATGTACCTACAGAGGTTCAGTGACTGTAAATAGGACCCGGAAAACCAGGGGTACCCAACTAGGATAGGAATTGGTCCAACCACACCTCTTCAACCTCTGCTGGTATACATCAACGTCTTTTGGATTCTTGCTTCTGGTCTGACAAATCGAAACCCCACCCGAACCAAAACCACCTCTTCCACCAGAGTCTGAGGGCCCTGCCGCAGTGACCGGTCTGGGCGGTCTGGTCGGGACCGGATGAGGGCCTCTCCTGGAGGGTGGCTGGGTCTCGGCCTGGCAGTCTGCCCTGGGAGTCGTTTGGAAATCAGTAGGTTGTAAGTAGGATGGGAGGAAACCTGTCATGTGGTTGAAATGAGTTGTACCAGCTCATAAGGGGATGCCAGGGAGGGTCTATTTAGTCATTGAGTTTGTTTTAGTGCCGCTCAGCTGAGGTAGAAGAGAGAACATCCAATTCGTCCTTTTTCAAGATTTGCATCACGGGGCAGTCTCGTCGATGTCTGCCCAGGCGCGAGAATGACGGAAAAAACCGTTTTCGCTTTTCGCTCTGTGTGTTGGTCCCCACCGAGGTCGGTCACACCACCGAGGTCTGTCCGGATCAGTGATAGACCTCGGCCGTTGGGAATTGTACCGCTCGTGTGGACAGAAACCCGGATCCACTGCCACCAGGTACGGTGAGGACGGAGACGGTCCTTGATGTAGGCGTTAGGTCGCCAGGAGGGTCCAAGGACGCCTTCTGAGGTACGGTGGATCCGTGGATCCATAGGGATATAGAGTGGTTCTTGGAGGGTAGGGGGGTTCCTCAAGAAGATCTACTCGCTTCGGGATGCGGATTGACCTTTGTGTTCAATTTGTGTTCACTTCTTCCAAGTTGCTGTGGGAGAGGTGAGTTTGAGCAGGATGCTCCTCCCTCTAACATCCTCGAACCATTTCGCAACATGGACTAGGGAGTTGCTGGGTTTCTTCATCAGCTTGGATCAGCTTGGAGGGAGGGTCCCAAATGCCATTCTTTCTGCGAGCATGACTTCAACTAGAGTCTAGAGCAGTTTCTAAATTGTACCCTAAGAATCTGGGCCCTCAAACAGATAGGGTTTTGCGGGCCCAGACCCCTGCTATGGAGGGTCCGACCCCTGCCATGGAGAGCCCAAGGATTCTTAGGGTAGGAGGATTTGCATGATTGTTGAGCTATACGGCACAATCATCGGCTCCGGCTATAGATTCCCATTCTCCCGTAGTTCATTTGGTATGCGTCTATAAAACATATACATACACACGAAATCAACTTTTCGAAACTGTTTCCGTCTGGGATGGTTTGAAACACCCTTCAGCGTTACGTGAAACACACCGAGGTCGACCACCCACCCCGCCCACGAACGACCCTGCGCCAGGCTCCTGGGCCCAGTGCCACCAGCGTGAGTTCTGTGAAGGCGCGGAGCCTCCGGCCGGGGGCGAAGGGGAGCGAACGGTGTCGTCCGCAGATGGGAAGATCAAAGACACAAGGGGACACTGGTCTCAGGTTTTGGTGGATTGGTTCATATTCTATCCACTCCAGGATGCTTGTATACATCTATACTGTAGGGTATCTCCCAGTAAACCAGTCACAGGAAGGGTCAAAGGACAATACGTATTTTTTGAGATGTCAGCCTGTAACCTAACCATCATCCATCCACTGAGTCACTGACCTGGTCATATATGATACTCCAATGTAGATCAATACATGGTGTAGACCAAACTTGTGTAGACTTGCCCATTCACGGTGGAGTTGGCTCACTTGGCTCCTCCTTTTTTCTCCGTTCGATGCGATCCCCGAAGCTGGAGGAACCCGCTTCGCTCGCTCCTGGGCCTTTCGTGTCGACTGGTCCAGACCCGTGAGGAAGTGGTTTCGGAGCACCCACCTGAAGTGGTTTCGGAGCACGTGCTCCCATCGTGGAGAGCACTACAAGTTCTGTGCACCTTTTTTAAAAGAACTCAGAATCCTAGGACTAATAAGCAAACAGATGAGAGAGATATGGGACCATCAAAGAATGCCAGTCCAACATACACCAAATCAGCGACACCCCATGATCAGATATAGATGTTTGACATTGTTTGACCGGGGAGATGAACATCCAACACAGAAAAACCGCGTCATGTTCGGGGCCAAGGGTCGCCAAGAGTGGGCCTGAGATCTGATCATAGTCTTGG